ACAAAATTATGCCTATGAGCTGATAGACAAAAAACTTTCAGCCAATCAGAAAACAAGTTACATCCTTAATTAAATTATATACAAATATATATATATAGTTTTTATGATGAAGCGAACCCCTATACAAACATTAATGGACAAATAAATTAAATTATTGGTGTACTTGGATATATATGCTGAATCTAACCGTGTATTTAGATTTTGGATAATTAGACCATAATAGGTGAAAGTCCAATTTCAAAATGTTCAGTTCTTTGACCACATTCATTCTGTGTCAAATATTTAATTACCATCCAAATTCAGAGCTGTATCAAGCTTGAATGTAGTGTCCATACTTGCCCCAACTGTTCATGGTTTGACCTCTCAGGTCGTATCAAGCGTCCCGCGGAGCATTTTATATACTCAGTGTTGAAAATATAATATTTATTCATAAACTGCTGTTCACAATACTCATATGTGTTCAAGTTTCTAACAAAATACTACTGAAATAACTTGGCTAATGAATTATACCCTATCACATTTCTCAGATATTTTAGTATCACTACTAGAATCCGGAAGCTGTTATCGTTAATTATCATGATACACAATTACTTAACTCATTAGGAGCCATTAGATAATGCTTCTAGAAGATTTGAACGTTTACTAGATAATAACGAATCTCAAATGAATTGATAAATATAAGGAAAGGGTATCTACTGAAGCAAATAGAAGTACATTGTTCTTCTCAAGTGATCTTTGTTTTGTAGGTGCATGAAATGTACCAATTAAACTAGCAATATATTAGTGCAGTTGTATAGGGCAAATTTTGTCTGCTGCTTTTTGTCGGAGAAACATTTTTCGTTCACTTTTTCTTTTTTCACTAAATATTAGCAAGAATGTTTTACTGAAAACGAAAACTAGAAATATTGGTGTGGAAATATTTCTGCAATATTTTAGTGAATTATCGTATTTTTCTGCGGATTTTAATGTTTGTGGCTTGTGTGTTGCGTAACAAACGTGAATGGAAAGAAATGTAGAGTACAAGTCTATGACACAGCTAACAAACAATAAAACAAATAGAAAACCACATGGCAAGATAAAACTCGTCATTTTGATATGCCAATATGAACAAAAAATTCAACGTAATATTGACGAATATATATATTCTTTTATACCTCCAACAGTGGTCAACAGACTTAACTTTTTATACATTGTGACTTGGATGGAGAGTTGTCTCGTTGGCACTCATACCACATCTTCTTATTTATATTGTATTGATTGTACGTAAACTAATCTGTCTAGCACTGACTTCTTTGTAACCACAGTATATTGATTATGTAAAAAGCAATGACAGATACGTACCTTATATATGTAAAGACGAACTGTTTAACAGTATCTTGTACATTCATCATAATCTTCTAACTATTGATTTGACTTCTGTAATACTGACCGGTCAATATGGTCAAGGAACGCAAGATTATATTTTTCTTATATCAAGATCGATATACCGCACAATTTCTAAAATTGATTGTAAAAGGTGTAAGTTCATGATAAACTCGTCATAGACACCAGGCTTAAAACTTTATACTCAAGACGCGCGTTTTGTCTACAAAAGACTCATCAGTGACACTCGAATAAAAATAGTTAAATGGGCCAAATAAAGTACGAAGTTGAAGAGCATTGGGGACAATAAGTGACTCGATTTCTTCTTACTGCAAATTTTTGGTGCAGAAGAGACAGTTGCGCAATTATGAATTTTCAAAGATAAGTAATGGAAAATTTCCCATTTTAAGCAGTAAATGTATGGGAATGGGTATTGTTTTGTGTGTGCAGATTGATTCATGTCTGATGCGGCGTACAGCAAACACATATTAATCATTCGTGTTTAGGGTTCATTCGATGTCGTCTATATAGTGACATATGGAATTTTGAATGTTTATATATTTTTAATATATCATACTAGTATTGGTACTCTGTATGGGAACAAAAGCTAGGTTAGTAAGGCTATATGAGGTGCAATAGTTTTTGGTACTTAATCAATATAGGCTTATACAAATACATTCAGATTTATGTTGTTTTAAGTGTGTATTAAATTTAAACATCAAACAGATTTTGTTTACTTTATGTGTACCACTGTAAAATCTTAAACAGCTGCATTCTTACGAGTCTCCATTACAATTACAGACCGTCATTTTGACAATGCATACAAATCACTCGAAATTAACATTAAGAGCTGTTATGATATTTATTTTTGATAATATATAGCAATCATTATAAAAATATTCCATAATCTTAGGTGTATTTCAAATGAATTAGAACCATGATCATCCAGTATATTACCTATTGTTTATTTTTCTATATATCACTACCATTATTAAGTAGACGTATTTTAAAGATCTACTATTTTTACCTATTCCATGATGTCTTATTTTCTTGTCATTGTTGTCCGAATTCCATTTCACTTGTGATGAACAAGACGATATATGCCACCACTTGAACGTAAAATAGAGGCACAAAATTTTTAAATTGTTATTTTCATTTTCAAGCTAAACTAGATACTGCTGGTGATCTATACCCGAGGGTATCATCTTTTCTGTAGTCGGTGCTTCATTACTGAAATGATTTATAACATACTTTACAAATCCACCGTTGATGATATTGGAAATTATACAGAAACTATGATTCCATCTCACTCAGGCAAAGTTGGCCTTATACCCTAGTCATTTTTTGGGGCCCTTTATAGCTTGCTGTTCGGTGTGAGCCAAGGCTCCGTGTTGAAGACTTTGACTCATAATGGTTTACTTTTACACATTGTGACTTGGATGGAGAGTTGTCTCATTGGCACTCATACCACATCTTCTTATATCTACTTAGATGGATTTGACTATTCTTTATAATTATGTCCCTTTTGATCATATGTAGGTTCTCAAGCAATCAAGGAGTAAACAATTCTGGGCTTTCAGAGTTTTGTGTTTGAGCGTTTCTATTAAGAATAATAGAATATCTGTTTTACAAATGATTACGTGTATGGTCCAAAAAAAAAAGAGGCGAAGGATACCAAAGGGACATTCAAACTCATTAGTCGAAAATAAACTGACAACGTCATGGCTAAAAAAGAAAAAAAAAACCAAACAGACAGACAGACAAACAACAGTACACAAAACACAAAATAGAAAACCAAAGACTGAGCAACACGAACCCCACTAAAAACTAGTTGTGATCTTAGGTGCTCCGGAAGAGTAATGTGGCACCCGTCGTGTTGCTCATATTAGTACAAATCCGGTGATAAGTCTAATTCGATAGGTCACATTCGGGGAAAAAGGGACGGGATTGTAGTTACGACAATTGGAACATATCCGTGACATTTGTCATAACCAGAACCCCGTCATCTTTTCCTCGAATGTGACCTACCGAATAAGACTTACCACCATGATCAACACGACAGGTGACACATTTGGAGCAGGATATGACATCCCTTCCGAAGCACCTGATATCACCCCAGCTTTTTGGTGTTGTGGTTTTTTTTATCGTTTTTCATATTTTGCCATGTCATTGTCACATTGTTTTTGACTGATGAGTTTTACATTCCTTTTGGTACCTTTCACCTCTTTTTTTTTAATCACGAAAAGCGCTTTGGACGAAACATGTTATATGTTATCATTTAAAAGTTTGAACACATAAAAAATACTCTAGTTGCGTCAAAGATGTCTAATTCATAACTGCAAATGTGTAAAACATACGACATGTTTGTTTGTTTGGCGAAGTTCTTGAAGCTATAATTGGACTTGGACAAATTCGACTTGGAAAAATTCCAATGTCGATGGCTATTAAGGCCGCTGGGTTACAATGCCTAAAATAGTTACATGGCAGATTTTTGATCGGCTCTGTTAAATCATTCAATACTTTCTAAAATAAGGAACATTTAGAAATTGACATATTTATTATTATTAACACGTGACTACAGTACTGTTCATTACTGTTTGCATTTTAACCTCTAGATGTCTTTTGTTTTTTTTTCATGTTGGGTCATTGTCTCATCGATGTATAAGTCAAGTCTACGGAGTTTTATTCAAACGTGTTTGCGATTTAAGTTAGGCATTGTCATCTATATGCAAAGAACTGCCTATATTTTAAAACAACCATAAAATGTTATTGTTAAATAAAATGATTTAGCATAATTTGAAGGATGTTAGTCATTATATAACGTCTACGTTACATTGTCATAACATATTGTTCGTCCTCTTTGTCTTTGAACGTTAAATGCATATTTTTTTTAAGTCAAGAGGAGATTTTATGATTATTGAAAAATCTTAAACAGCCTTAGATAAACATTTTCGTCCTATTTTTACATTTAAATTTTTTGTTGCTATTTGAGAAGGAATATGTATCTAATAAAAGTGTTATAATCGTGTTTATTTATGCAACATAAAAGCATATCTAACCTTGAACCAGGTCACTAATTATTGATTAAGTACCAAGAAACCCGTTGTTTGAATTCCAATGAAACCTGCTTATAAATCTCTGGTCCACAAATAAATAACGCGGACACGCGATAAAAATCAACATTGAAAACCATTCAGGTGTCTGACGATTAATACATATAATACACTAGGAAGAGGGAATATATATTACATAATACATTTCATTACCTATATTACACGTTACCTTTAAAACAGTTTGACCGAGATACCCAGAGATATGTCCCATTTCATTGCCATTTGTCGTACCAACAACCCCGTTCTCCTGTGATCGTTCATGGCTTATAACTGAATTTTTGTTTGAAATAAGGAAAACTTGATCAAATCACCTATATGGTGTCTTAACTGAATATAAAAATAATAAGATGTGTTAAGTTTAGCAATGAGACAACTGACCACCAGACTAAATGACTTAGACGTTAACAACTATATGTAAGGACATGGCAAATGTAAAACAACTCAAAAGAGAAATGCGCATTGTTAACATTACAATTTAACCATCAGATACTTGCTTTATTAATACATTTTTTTTTTATATTTTAGAATGGAGCTACAGTTCACCATATGGTAGGTTCTCGTTTATTTTAAAGAAAGTCAATTTATTACATCAATGAAATATATATACAAAGTTTTACAATACAATATCTATATCTGACATAGGTATTTTGAATAATGCAGTATAGTATATATTTATATAGTTAATATTCTGTTATAGGTTGTAGAAAGTTTCAATCATCGTTTTTCTCTGATTCGTTTTTGTCATATGATCCCCCCCTCCCCCCGTTCGTCTACAAACAGATGATCACTGAAGTCTCACAAAATACTGTGAACATTGAGATACATCTGCATTTTAACAAGTGGCGTTAAACACCAATTAACTAATCCAACAATCCATCAATCAATGTATTTTAGCAAGCATATTTAACACATTATTGATATATACAAGCTGCATTTCGTTATGTGTGAAATTGATATACTATTGTAATAGAATTTACAGAACCAATTTGACTACACCAGATGTATAAAAATAAGAAGATGTGGTATGACTGCCAATGAGACAACTCTCTACAAGAGACCAAATTACACAACTATAGGTCGCAGTACGGTCTTCAACAATGAGCAAAGCCCATACCGCATAGTCAGCTAAAGAAGGCCCCGAAATGACAAATGTAAAGCAATTCAAATGAGAAAACTAACGGCCTAATTTATGCATAAAATGTATAAAAATTTTGATGGAGCTACAGTTCACCATATTGTAGGTTCTCAATAAACATGTTAACAATAAAATGTCTTATTTATTTCTTCCTAGGGCTAAGTTATACTAATGCATTGTATGTCCTAAACTTCAATGCCCAATCGTCCTTAATATGCCTGAAATATTTGCCACTGGGCGTTAAACAAACACTAATTAACCAGTTCCCTTCAGCACTTGTGCCCTAAAAACTAAATTTAAACCGGCAAGACATTTTTCAGAAAGAATAACTTGCCATACATATTTAACCAAGATGGCAAAGTATTAATGCATATACAGAATTGAGATAAGTTTTTTATCTTCAATCTACAGGCCCATCAAACTGGACGACTATGCATGGCAATGCAGCTTGTGGCCTGAGGGCACAGTCACCAATAGACATTCCAGATGCAACGAACGCTCAATATGACGAAATGCTAGTACCGTTTGTAGTTATGGGATTTGAAAAGAAAACAAATGTTTTAAAACTTGTCAACAATGGACATACAGGTAAACTTTCGTTGCATTATCTTCTGATTTTGATGAAAAACATAAGTTTTATGTACAAGTAAAGTCCACTGAAGAATCTGTCTGCTTAAGAATTTTAAACGTTGAGACGTATTAACAAACAATAATTATAGTCAAAATGAATTGAACTCGGATAATATACAGAAATACACTATTTCAAATACACTGTAAAAGAAACTAAGAAGATACCGGGGAGAAATGAAAGGATATATAGGAGGGTGCTATCCTACCAGTACTAATCACTTCTGTACTAGCATGCTTAAATTTATACAATCTCGGAGTGAAAATGTCCAGTTAATAATTAAAGAAAGAGAAATTACTGTTAAATGTACAGTAAACGTCCGAGATTTCTCTCTTCCTTTATTAACGACTTTATTTAGATATCTACAATATCTTGAAATAAGCCGAGACATAGTGCTCAGTGCGTGGGAGAAACTGGAGTGCTTTGTGCACACAAACACAGGAATATCTTTGCAACTTCCGTAAAAAAGTTAAATGTTCAGTTTACAAACACAATAACAATATTAAATGTATTTCAGTTCAACATATGGAATGTGTTCACAAGATAAATGTACTGAAAAAAACCAACTTGTATAGTCAAGAAGGTTATGTGAACTTTACTTTAAGAAAAAAGCACTCTAAACTGCATATACCCCATGACTAAATGAAAGACTTCGTCAATAGACATGTGTATTTATACAATATATATATATGTAGGACTCAAATCTATGGTGGGTTCCAGATCTATGGCAAATTCCTAATCTATGGTAAAAATGATGTCACAAACGCCAAATAAATCACAAATCTATGGCAGGTTTTTGTTTTCTCCAAATCTATGGCAGATTTGGATAGTACGTAATTTTCCGTCACAATTAAATAACGTCATGTAACGTTGAAGCTGCCGCTGACAGCGACGGTTTTGTTATACAAAAGGAAAAGGAAAAGATCAAAAAGTAAGTTTGCAAGGATCTAAATCAACCTTAATTCAGAATTGTTGTTGTTTCTATCCTTGATGCCTTCTTCTCGTGTTGCTGGTGTTGCCCTCACCCTTAATTGTACGAGCTTTTATTGTGCATTTTGGTTTGCTTTTTGCTGTTTTATGTAATGTTTTGTATCCCTATGATCTCTTAAATTTTCTATTAGAAGTAACAAAACGTAAATTATTTTGACATCTATATAACAGTGACTACCTGGACTGTTGTAGCAAATAATCTTTCTTGAGATTCAGTGGAGAGAAAAAAATATGTCATAGATTTCTTATAGATATTAATAATATTAATGTTTTCCCCGCTATAAATATGCGAATAACTGTACTGTTGGAGAAATAAGGATTTTATTTTATAATGTCAGGGGTTGGAGGCGAGTCAATGTTCATGACAGGACTTACATCGTCATCAGTCAAACAAAATTTAAATTATCTAACGCTCAAAGTCAAATAGATATTTGTTAAAAATTCAAACTACATTTTGTGTTGGTTAAATAATGGGTCAAGCATGCAGGTACCATGCACAGAGTAGAAAATACTTATCCTTCCGGGGCACATGATTTCAACCCTAAAGTCTGTGTTCATTTTACAAACGGTTATGGATATGCTTCCTAGTAATAGTCATATTTTGTTTTTCTTTTACAATGTACTGGTTTTGACTTAAAAGCAGCTCTTTCGCTACCTTTGGACATTTCGACCTCGAAATCATTGATCATTGGTCAGATATATACTGACTGGTCCGACCTTTGCAGAAAATCTGTCATTGATTTGAAATCTAGAAATCCGCAATAGATTAGGATACTGAAAAAAAGTTGCCTTAGGTTAGGAAAATAAAAAAACACTGCCATAGATTAGGGTTCTAAAAAATCAGCCATAGATTGGGAATGGCATGACGTCATATTTACCATAGATTAGGAATCTGCCATAGATCTGGAACCCACCATAGATTTGAGTCCTACATATATATTGTTTTGTAAGGGTATTTTACTTATAACACAATGAGAGCAACATTTTTCAATCCTAAAAGTTTATTTTACTATTGCCATGCCGATGTTTTCTTTAATTGAAAACATACTTCAACAATAAAGAACTTATTATTAATAAAATTCTTCATAAAAGAATTATTCTTTTTTCACAACAGCTCAACTTAACATAATAGGAGATTTAAAAGTATCAGGCGGAGGTTTATCAGGAACTTACAACACTGCTCAGTTACATTTCCACTGGGGCAGTAGTAGTAACAAAGGCTCAGAGCATCTACGTAACAGAACGAGGTATCCCTTAGAGGTAAAGTTCAGATTAGCTACATAAAAGAAATTTCTATTTGTTGTGTGGCCTGGCAGCGTCCAGCAGTCTCTAGCGATACACAGGGATCACTTTTGTCATCTTGCGTCGTCGTCTTCGTCCGCGTCACACTTTATGGTAATTGGCCGAAAATTTTGATCGGAGGCAATTTTGAGGTTTCCCACACCAAAATATAGATTTAACCAATTCTAATAATATACAAGTTTGAGCTTTCTAAAAAGCTGTGGACTGCTTCGCTCTATCCTAATTTAAGGTAATGTGTGTGCATGTGGTTGTTGATTTAGTATTGGAAATGTGGTATTTTTAGATATTGATTGATGTAAAATGCAATAAATGTTTAGTTTCAGTGAAAATGATATGGTTCTACTTTAAGAGTGTGACGATTATACACCCATGCTTTTAAAATTTTGTTCACTTTACTTGTTGAAAATTAAAACATTTACATATAGACAAGACTCTGGAGGTGTGCCTCTCTGGAGGTGTGCCTAGATTGGCAGAAGTTATAAAATACAGATAATGCATTTTTGTAAACATTGTACAGGAACATTCATTTGTTTCGCAAAACAAATCGTGCACATTGCAGATTAACAAGGCAAATAAACGCGTATTTATTATTTAATTATTGATATTTCAATATTGAATTTCAGTGTGCAATATATACATAATAAAACGAACATGAATTAATGACAGTTGATCGGAACTGAAATACACATAGTTAATTTTCCGGCATTTGATATCTTATCCTGAGACGAGAAAAGTCTGTAATTCTTTATCTCATTTAAGCCAATAGCTGTTGCTGTATCTCATCCGCATCATAAAGCAACCAATCAGAATCTATATGTTATAAGTAATTATTTCAAGATGGCGTGTATACCGGCTGAAACTAATAGCTCCGCACCGTGATTGCTTAATTGTTAATCAACAACTTAAAAGCGACTTGACAGAATATAAGCAAATGTGCACATATTCTTCTACATGTCGTACAGTTGTGCATCTCCTATTTCAAGGTTTGGTTTGAGTTATTCTTGGGGGGTAAACCCACCAAAACATGCCAATTTCTGTACCAAAACATGCTAATTTCTGTACCAAAACATGCCATTTTATGTGCCAAAACATGCCAATTTCTGTACCAAAACATACTATCATTAAGAGACGGCAGGCGACACACGTCTTCCATGGAAGACACATTTTTATAGCCAAGGTTTGGAATTTCTTCCCAGTGAAGTAACTTATCATTTAAAGGTTGGTTTCAGGACATTTGTTGGGTCTACATAAGTGATGGCTTAAACATCAGTATTAAGTGAAACAGTGTTTGTCCTGTAAGATAAAGAACAGAACATTTACAGAATAGAATCAAAAAGAATACTGTTCATAAAAGAGAAATTGCCAAAATCGATGTTTGATGAAAAAATACTAATACAAACACGCAATTTGAAGTTTAATTTCGTTTAAATAATGATCATTTGTCGTTCTTACATACTCATATATGGTTAAGAGTAAAATAAGTGATAGTTGCATGGTGTCAGGGTAGTCTTGATGGTTTAACCATATATATAACGATTTCCAAAATATCTACTTTTAACGACAGTTAGGGGAAATAGATGAAATACACAGCTTGAAAATGACATTCGATATCCTATTAAGTTTGAATACAGCAGCTGTATTTATCTTTTTTTATAAGCTCACAGATAAGGCTTCGACTGCTAAATAAACAAAACACATGGACGCAAATCATTTCAATATTATTCCCCCTATTCACCGTTTTTTTATTATTCCAAATTCAAAATCAAGAAGAAAATACAAGATAAGCTTTCTCTGAAGACATAAAAGAACAATTTTCAATAAGTATATTGAAATTGAAGCTTTGTTGAGATTTTGTTTTCTTTTAAGTGATTGCAGTGATTTTGTGTCATGACTTTAATACACGTACCATATCCTTTTTTCCATTTTATCAAAAGCAGATTCCAAAGTAAGAAGAAAACATGAATCAATGAAGTAACCAGAAGTCGAAAAGTAAAAAACACCATATACAAAAAAAAAAAAAAAAAAATGAAAAAAAAAAATAAAATAAACAAAAGTTCAGAAAACATTACACAGACAATTAAAGATTGAGCAACACGAAACCTTTCTTAAACTGTGTATTAACACAGGTACCCCGGAAGGGATATCAGTTCTTGCTTTACTAGTTTCACCCGTTGTGTTGTTCATGTCAAGTAAAATTCAAGGTAATAATGTTATTTCTATTCATATATTCTGATTTCTATTGTAGATGCATATAGTCAACTATAACAGTAAATATGATAGCCTAACAAATGCTGCTCCAAAACCAGATGGTCTTGCAGTACTGGGTTTTTGGTTTAAGGTATACTTACATTTCAATAATGGTATAATATTACTTGAAAAAGTATATTCTGTCACTATGGTAATTCTCATTTTAAATAATCATTTTACATTGTTATTTGAATGACAAAAACCAGTTCAATTTTTTACAAGATGCATGGTAAAAGAGCTACTACATGTTTTATAAACGATTTTCATATTACCTAATTATATAATTTTTAGGACATTCTGGAAATCGGTCAAGTAAGAGCAAAAAGGAAGTAAAATCAAACTTACAATCGGTGCAATTTGGTGGAAAAATTAATTGTTTTATGTTTCTATACACGACAAAATCATCGGAAAACAGTTTATTTTCCCCCCTAAATTACACCTTTTTGTAAGCTTGATTTTACTTCCTTTAGTAACTGTTACTTGACTGAGTACCAAAATGTCTTACCACAGTGTAAGTTAACTGTACAAAAAATATATACACCGGAGTCATTAGTCGGTAATATGATAATAGTCTATTCAGTATTGACTACTTTAATGCTACTTACACTCTTCACTCTAATGTTTGTTTTTTTTGCTAATAAAACATATTCTTTATTTTTAATTTCTTCGGATAATGCCTGTACCAGGTCAGGAATATGACAGTTGTTTTTCTCCCGTTCCGTTGGTTGATAACGGCTGATTTCGTCTGTTTTTATGAACTTCCCCTTTTTGAATTTACCTTAGTTATACTTTCTTTTAATAGTCAAATTCTTATTGAATTTTTGATAATGACATTTTGCAACACTAATATTTAATGACTTCACTTATTCGTCTTGCTAGTTGTTAAAGACAGTAGCAATTATTTTATACATGTGTGTGGCATTCATTGTTTTAGGTTGTAGCTGAAGACAACAAAATGTTTGCCAAGTTGGTGAACAATCTCACAAAAATACAAAATGCAGGTAATTATTAAGGCTACACTGTCTGATAAAAATAGCATGTGAAGTAACAAAGTAATAAAATTTTGAGAAAAATTTAAGGGAATTGCCATGTTGAATTGATATATTTTATACAAAACCTTAACAGCAAGTACCTTTTGCAGTAAATCATCTCCTCCAAATGGTAGATTATGCGATTTGGAGAAAATAGTGATCTGATAATAGTTTATCATGACCTTAACAATAATACGGTCATTATGCGAATATTACTGAACACCTACCCTTGCAGAAAATCACTGTCAATTCTGCAATCTCGTGCTAAATATTATTCTGTTCAAATGATCAAAAATATTTGCCCAATACACTATTTCTGATATCAGCGGGGAAAACGCGAATCCAAAGAATTAGAAAGCCAAATACATTAGGGGAATCACAACCGAACACATCACAAACAACAAACAGTCAAAACTATCAAAAAATCGTTACCAAACAACAGTCAAAACCATCAAAAAGTCGTTACCAAACAACAATCAAAACCATCAGAAGTAATCTTTAAGACGTACATACGCTGCATTTGTTTGAATCTGTACTAAGTCAGGAACCTGTTGTTCAGTGGTTGTCGTTTGTTGATGTGGTTTATAAGTCTTTCTCGTTGCTCGTTTTTTATGTAGATTAGACCGTTGGTTTTCCTGTTTGAATTGTTTTACACTTGTCTAGTCATTTTGGGGCCCTTTATAGCTTGCTGTTCGATGTGAGCCAAGGATCCGTGTTGAAGGCCGTACTTTGACCTATGATTGTTTACTTTTACACATGGTGACTTGGATGGAAAGTTGTCTCATTGGCACTCATACCACATCTTCTTATTTCTATATACATCGTTAGTTAATTGTATCGATACAGGCCATCTAATATCGTTTAATACCATTAACGATTCCAATTTTACTGCACCAGATGCGTATTTTGATAATTAATGTCTCTTCAGTAATGCTTGATGCCAAAATATCTAAAATCAAATTCCTAATACGAACGTTGAATAGCTGTTATAACAGAGGAGGACCAAAATGTTTGACAAACTCTAACAAGGAGTCAGAGCTATGCACGAGGGAAATGCATTCTTTAATTTATAACAACAAATTTTCCAAAAACAACATCCGTATTTTCATTTGAGATAGTGATAGATGTTTTCTTATTTATATATAAAAAGCTGTTTATAATCAGTATATTTTACGGTAATCGTTTCTTATTTTTATTTTTAAATCAGTCAGTACAAAATTAAACATGCATTTAATTTGTTGATTGTATACTTTAAATGCAAATTTACTCAAATACCATAAAATTGTGAACAAAAAAAATAATGTTTTTGTTTATCTATTTCAGACGACGAAGTCGATGTGACAGATGTTCTAGTTAGTGATTTAATCATTCCAAAACTTGACAAATACTACAGATATAAAGGCAGTTTGACAACTCCGCCATGTTATGAAAGTGTCACGTGGACAATGTTTGAAGAGACTATTCCCATTTCAGAAAATCAGGTAAATAAATTAAGTAGAGACCGGATGGTACAATCAGATCAAATATAAAAAACGCAAAACCCAGAGCATTGTTAGACTGAAAATCAAAACAGACACATGTAATAAGGACAAACAACTGAAAAAAATACAATTGCTAGCACGTTAAAACGACTGGAGTTATAACTCGAGCTCCGGAAGATTAAACATATGCAGATGCATGTTTTTAATTTATATTTGATATTTTTGTAATAAATGTTTAAGATTAATCAAAGCATTGTCGAAATGATTGATATATTCTGTCGCAACATTTTTTCATATCCCTTTTTAAATTTCCAAGAAAAATCAATAAGATGACACTCTCTAATTTTTTTATTTTTTTTAAAATTTACTGATGCACATGCAATTTGATAAACTGAACATAGAAAGCAGAGACTTACACGCATGGATAACACTACACATTTATCTTCATTTATTCGTTGATGATTATAACATTTTTAATTAATAACTATAAGCACATTTTATTTATTACATCATAATTTCTCTTCCAGTTACGACTATTCAGAAATTTGAAAGAAAAAAAACCAAACCACAAAATTGTCAACAACTTCAGGCCAGTCCAGCAGTTAAATGGTAGAAGAGTAAGCAGAAGTTTCAAGTTAGAAACAGACGGAGCTAACACTATTTGTTCATCGTCAATTGTAACAGTTTTATTAGTTTACCTTCTACATTTGTTATGAACGTTGTAGACATAGGACCTTTAAAAAAGGCAACATTGAAAGTCATGTACATTGATCAGTTGAATTTAAACTTTGCAAATTTAGCCTTAAATTTCTCGATTGACGATGTTTACTCATAGGTCTAACTGCAGTGGCGGATCCAGAACTTTTCATAAGGGGGGCCCGCTCCAGTCATGCTTCAGTGATTCCCTATATAATCAATCAAATTTTCCCACGAAGGGGGAGGGGGGGCGGGCCCCCCAGGCCCCACCCTGGATCCGCCTATGAACTGCTATATATGAGTATTACCCATAAGTCTAACTTCACTGGTATCCATAAGTATAAATAACTGGTAACAACATTTTAGGATGAAAAGGGCGAGTATTCTTCCTTTAATAGTATTTCTTTCAATGTTATATAATTGTTATCTCATACTATTTACTCAGTAAACTTCGTCCAAGCTACGAAAATAAAAAAAATCTTGTAATTGTAATTCCACAACAACGTATCGCCATTTCCGGGATATTTGGAAAGTTGTAATTTGAAAAAGCAAAAATAAATATTGTGACAAGTGGAGAATTCAGTATTCCATAAAATGAATCTGTAAGATTTTGAATTGGGCTCGATATATTTCTTAATATCATCCCAAACAATGACTTTTATGTTGTACATGTTTCAAAATTTGGTCATGATTTGTTTCCTGTGAAAAGTTAATGTTGATAAAATAGAGTTAATATTTCTTGTGTTGGTACTGATTTTTTAGGGGGATCTTTTATTGGTTTTGTTGTTTTGGTGGTTCGTTCATTAACAATAACCAATCATCGTCTGCTATTTATTATCATAATAAAGAATCATGTCAGTGCCACTATAAATAATCATGTATAATTCAAAAAATATATTTCATGATATGAACGGTATAATCGTTGAAATGCTTTAGTTGTATTCTTGTATTCTTGTATATATTCTAAACAAAACAGTATTAGAACAATGCAGAATGGGAACATTTATCATAATTGTCATACTATTTTTAAAGCTGCATGTTAGCTCCCCTTAACCCAAAGTGTCCTTTGATGTTTACCCTTCACTTGACGCTTGTCATCTGTTACAATAGTCTATTGTTGGCCTTTTTGTTGAGGAAATAAGATATCTATGTTACGATATAAAACAACTTTTTAAATGACCACCACAATGCTACTTTCGTTGATATAAATAGAAAGTTCTGCAAATAAACAGAAGAAGGCTTTCAATCAGAACCGGGGTAAATATGCTTTAATTTATTGGGATCAAGAATGGCCATTCTGCAGCATAGGTAAAAAGTAATAGAAATATGCTTTTTAGAAGCTTTAGTTTAAATGATGATTTTTGATTTACTTTCAATTAATTATAATTGCTTTATGTAATATATAATTGCTATTTTGCTGTACAATATGCATAATAAACCAATTTAAAATCTTGCAAGTCTATATTTTCATTTCAAGTTTGTGGTTAAAGAAAAGGAATAAAAGTATAAACAATGAATTAAACTATAAAATTAAGAAGATAACATGAGGACAACCAAAACCCATACATCGAAGAAAGAAAGATAACACCATGACAAAACAAAACAATGATATACTTCATTCAAAAGAAAAAACAACTGTGTAAGAAACACTTTACCGATAACTGAAGATTGCACAAATAAAACCAATAAAAATATCTTGGGGCAAACTTAGGTGCCCCGGAAGTATAAACAGATCCTTCTCTTATAGTGACAACGGTAATGGTGCTTGCAGTGAAATCTCATGGTTTTCATCAAATATAAACAATCATCAGTGGATCAAAATAAGTATACAAAGCAGTGAGGCAACAAACAATTAGGTAACACTAAACAATTTATGGTTCCATTTAGTCGAAATTCTCTTTTTGGAAAGTAACGAATGAGATGTTCGCAATTAAAATACAGCCAAGTTCAAAGTAATAACATACATCTCTGACACATAACCTCTTACAGAAGACAAAATTGACTAAAATTTCATTACTGGTTTATGGTAAAACTGTCTCAAATAGGAACGATGGTCATCATTAAAATTGAAAAAAGGGTATGGATGCCGCAAAAAGTGAGGCGATAAATATTAAAGGGACATTCAAACTCATAAGTCTAAAACAAACTGACAACGCAATGGCAAAAAAACGAAAGACGACAATAAGACAAAATACAAAATACAACATAGAAAACTAAAGAATGAGCAACACGAACCCACTAAGAGACGCTAACTCTGTCGTCACATCCGGTCTTGCTCCTTTTGGAGTTAATGGGATTCCCTCAAGTGATGTTTGTTTCCTAGAAATGAACATCGGTAGACTACTGTCGCCTTAATTTACACATTTTGAAAAAAAAAAAAAAAACAGCTGATGGATTCATCAACAATATCATTGCCGTCAGCCAATATTACGCTGAAAGTAAAAACATAATAGAGTTACAGAAAAACATAATAGAGTTACAGAAAAACACATAGAGTCCCGAAACAGATAACACATAGGTGTTTGTTGAATTGGAATAGGGTGATTTACTTTGTAAAAATAAAAATCGGATATTCAAATATAAAGTAAAAAAGTACTTTACTCTTCTGACATAGTACAGCAATGTGTTGTTAATGTGTTGTCAAAACTGTTATCAATGTGTTTTTTAAGATGTGTCAAAGTGTTGTAAAAGCTGTTGTCAATGTGTTGTCAAAGATGTTGTTCAATTGTTGTCAATGTGTTGTCAAAGCTGTTGTCCTGGTGTTGTCAAATCTGTTGTCAAGATGTTGTCAAAGCTATTGTCAAGGTGATGTTGTCTAGTTGTTGTCAAAAATGTTGTCAAGGTGTTGTCAAAGATGTTACATCAACGCGATGTGAGAATGCATGGAAACATACCTTTGTATTTCCTACAGTAATTTAAGATAGATTATCTGCATATCGCCATCTTGGATTGTGAATTAGCAGTACACAATCGGTCTAGATATTTGCTTAAATCTGCAAATTTTTAGACAGATTGGCAATTAATGTGTAAGACTGTTCGTTTAAATAAAGAAAAATAAGTGATTATTTGCATTATGTACACTGTTTTAACAAATGCTAAATATGTGTTTCTGTTTGATTCAATTTTTTAAAACTTAGTCATATAAGGGGAGATAACTCTAAAAGTAATTTTTTTTTATACTGGAATAATAGTGAAATTTTTATTTTTTACTTGTAGCAAGAAAACAAGTTCGGTGACACCATTTTTTATTTCTATTTTCTTAACGCAAATTATAAAATATATCTTCCCATATTTTATTTCAAAATTCTATCTCATAGATTTCTTTTTATTCACAAAAAAATGGTTTTTTTTTAATAATCTATGCAAAATTTTTTATCACTTGTAGCTTGAAAATTAGCACGGTGACCCATACTTTTGATTATATCTTTTAAGATAGCATGGCAAAATCTCCATTTTTGCAAATTTAAAAAAAAATCTATCTGAGGAAATATATAGCGATGATCAACCTTAATCTCAGTGAAATGAAAAAAACCACATAAAATCCAGTACTTCAAACGTTTGGAGGACGTGTTGTTTAACAAAAATGGGTTTTTCTATGGAAACCAACTGTATTCCTCTTCTGGCGACTTGTATTTTTATTCTATGAGGCAGACTTCATACAGGTGCTTCAAAAGAAAATGGTAAGAAGCTGGCATTTATCTTTAACTTCACGTTCCACAATATAGATGATATCCTTTTACTAATTACTATAAATAAAGGAAACCACAGACGCAGTTAAGGCAGCTTCATATCTATAAATTGACAATGATAGTTAGTTGTTTGAGTACTAAGTCCTATAGTGAACTTTTCATTTCTGTGTATCGTCATTCCAGAGGCGTCTGTCTATGGTTATATATAATTCCCAGTTGATACGATATTTCAGGGCTTGCATTTGTTTGACATCTTCTTAGACTTATAATTAGTTGTTTGGTTGTGATGTCGCATCTTTGTTACCAATTTGTCTCTTGTTGGCTGTATTAACCCTCTGTGGAAGTTGTGAAGTTAAACTCGTTCATTCGGACATTTTTGAAACTTCCTGTAATGAATGGAACTTCAAGCCGATATGTTTCATTACTGGTTTACTATATAGTTTCAAAATATGCAATTGTTTTTCACTTTTTATTTAAATTTAGTTGTCTTTGTATTTGAATTATCTGCTGTTAAAAATAAACATTACATATAAAACCGTAAGTTACACACATCTATTTTGTGTATGCAATCCTGTTCGTTGTACAATTTATGACTTTTTACGGAAGACATAAAATGCATATATCTATCCAAACATCATTGTTTTTTGTGGAGTTCACTATAGTATTGTAATACTTAGAATTAATTATAGTTCTGGAAATATTAAGTAATTTTCCAGCTTGAATCCTAGTAGTAGTCGAGCACTTTTATTTTATTTCTTCTAGAATATAGTTAAAGCAAATACTTAAACCAAGTAAAGTTTTGGTCTTGAAATTTATACAAATACTAATAGTAACTTTTTATTTTATTTTATTTTTTATTTTAATTTCTCTTTCCATCTGTTCTGCAATTCACCAACCCCTGTGCAATTTGAAATGTTAATTCAAAATTTAGATTTTAATCATGTGTATTAAAGTATCAAAGCAATTATCTATCAGCTCTTGGAATGTTAATGGAATGTTTAAAAGAATAAGTGGTAACAGAGTTTGTAAACTAGATGATAATATTATTTGTCAAATTATGACTGCAGATATTGTTTGTTTTTCAGAAACACATATCCCCTCCAAAGAGATTTTAAACTATGATGGTTATAAATGTTTTGTAAACTGTGATTCAAATAAGGTTAGAGGTGGTTTAGCTACTTTTTTTAAGAAGGAAATATTATCAGGTGTAAAGTTGATGGATAAATCCATAGATGATATAATGTGGTTCAAACTAGACAAGAATTTTTTCAGTTTTGATAGAAATGTATATTTATGTTTCCTATATATTCCCCCTTCCAACTCATCTTACACGTTTAGAACAAATTTTGATAAACAAATTTTTGAGAAACTTGAAACAGATATTGCTAAATATAGTATATCAGGGGACGTTATCCTCATGGGAGATCTAAATGCACATATTAACTGTAAAGAGTTAGATTTCATAACAAATGAAGTAGATGACAGTTTAGACAACTTTCTTCCCACTAATTATGTCGCAGATAGTGTATGCAAATTTAGAAATACTCAAGTACACCAAAAAACTAATAACTATGGAAAACTTATACTTGACTTATGCACAGAATCTCAATTAAGAATCCTTAACGGAAGAACACTTGGTGATTCGAAAGGTAAAATCACTTTCTATAATCATAATGGTGTGTCTATTGATGACTATTGCTTATGCTCATCTGAATTTTTACCAAATATTGTCAATTTTAGTGTAGGTCAATATGAACCAACAATCTCTGATCATTGTCCAATTTCAATAACCATACTATCACAATTAGTAAAGGAGCCAATGAATAATTATGTAAAGCCTACTCTTAGAAGAGTTAAATGGACTAATAAACGAGAAGAAATTTTTAAGTCTAATATGTTAAAATTAAACTTTAAAACTATTAACTCTGAATTAGATAATTTAACCCAAAAAATGGATGCAAATAATGCACTTGATTCCACTTTAGCTCAAAGTGTTAATAACACAGTCTCAAGTATATCATCAATATTATACAATGCTGCTTTTTTAAGTAATACTAATAAAACCCCTGATATAGCCAGAAGAAGTAAACGAAGAAAAGCAAAAAAGCCATATTATGATAATGAATGTGAATCTAAATATAGGTCTCTAAAAAGTCTGACTAGAAAATTGTGAACTGAGCCCTGGAATGATAGTCTTAGACACAAAGTATTATATCATAAAAAGGAACTAAATAAAGTCATTAGGAAAAAATATAGACAATTTAGACATAAAATGATAAAACAGATTATAGATTCAAATAATAGATGTTCAGATGATTTTTGGAAAACTATTAAAAAACTAAAAAAAAAGAACTTCAAGGATCCTAGCTCTAACATACAACCTAAAGAATGGTTTGAATATTTTAATAAATTAATGAATATTGATTATGATAAAAATGTACTTAACGATCAGAAAATTTATACTGCTTTTAATGATTGTAATACTGAGATTTTAAACAGTTATATTACAACTGAGGAGGTGGATATTGCAGCTAAATCTTTAAAGAATAATAAAGCAAGCGGTTCAGATTGTCTTACAAATGAAATGTTGCAAATATCTCGTAATATGAATATTGATGTTTATGTAAAATTGTTTAATCTTATTCTTAAGTCTGGTATTTACCCAACTTTATGGAGAGAAAATTTTATTAAGCCCATTTTTAAGGGTGGGTGTTTCAATGATCCATCTAATTATCGAGGTATAGCCCTTTCAAGTTGTTTAGGA